CAACAACAACACCACACACTTGTTTCATTAGATTTACTGATGCATATGGGTTTAGAGGTAAAAGGAGTTTGCAAGAGAAAAGTCATTTTCTTAATCCTTCCTACAGGGAAGCCAGAGACAGAGGAAAAATAATAAGATCCAAGTAAAGTTTTATAGAATATTTACAAATTTATTTGCCCATTTTCTGCCTGTGAAAATATGAACAAACTATAAATCATGTTACTTTGGGAATAGCATACAGAGGAAACCTGAAATGCTGTTCAGGGGACAAACACATGGATTTCTTATGTATGCAAATGAAATACGGAATTTGCATGTACAGGCTTGCATAAAAGTTATTAGTTTTGAAGGAGGACTTAAAAGATGAAGACTTTAAAAGTTAGTTTTCTCCACTAACATACTGAATGCGACTGAAGAACAAAGCAAGCACAGAACACAAGTGCCCAAGTAGGCTGTAGGAATAATTTTTTAAGTGTATGATTTCCATTTCTTCCACTTATTACAAAGTCCTGGTGAGCAAATTTTGGGCTACTGTACTATGGCTCCTCATAACACTGAACCCCATATGAACCAAGACTCTATGTTGCTCCTTGACTCCAAAGACTAAGGGATTAATGAAGATGAAGTGTATTATGTTCTCCAAAAAGTATCAACTCCTCAAGGTGTGTTTTACCATAACACCCATAAAATAAAATAAACACTGATGAGGAAAGTTCCCTTAGGCTGAAAAGAGGCACTTTAACACCAGAAAAAGTTGGTTTTGTACATTTCTAGCCAAAACATTACGAAACCAGTCCTAAATAATACTTGCAGTGTTGTGAGACAGAAGTTTGATAGCAAAGCACGTGATTTTCACCATTATGGATTACAAATATGTCTTCTACAGACTCTTGTGCTATATTTCTATACCCAAGTGCATGTGAACGGCCACCTCAAAATTTTGGAAAGGCTCTTTAACCCCAACTCACTAGAAAGGTGACATTTCCAGCCTTCAGGGAGCATGACAGTCCTCGTTAATGAGAACAGTAGTAGAAACCTATACGTATGCTTTAGACTACAAAATTATAGGCTTTCTAAATTTTCAGATGACACAATACTTTAATATGCCAAAGCACAGACCATCCCAACAGTAACCCAGAATACTGCTTTATACGTATTAATAGAGGAAATGCTAGTGGATATAAGCTTAAATATACCAACTGAACTTGTGCAGCAACACTTAACAGTTTGCATACACATTGCCACAGAGGGAAATACTATGTCAAATAATACTATGCTTCCACATCAGCCGCACTGATAAAACATTCCCTGTAATTCAATCCATGCTGTAGCACGGATGATTACTTCAAAGTTCAGTGATCAGAGGAGCTG